AAAAAAAAAAAAAAAGAGATACCACTCCTATTGGACTAGGACCCACCCACACTAATGACCTCATCTTAACCGATTATATCAGCAAAGACCCTTTTTCCAAACAAGGTCACGTTCCCAGGTACTGAGGGGTTAAGTCTTTAACATATCTTTCGAGGGGACAAAATTTAACTCATCACAGGAGGAGGTAGAAAGACGGCTGCTTCTCTAGGGTCAGCTGTACACATATCCACAGAGGAAACTGCTGCCCCGTGCCTGACTTTTGGGACAGAAGAAAGTTCCAGGGCCTCTCGTCATGCACCTGCCCTGCCTGCTTGATAATTCAGAATTGAAGTCAGACGGCTGCAGATTCTGCTCTCATTCTCACTCTGCCCTCCTGTCCCGTATCCAGTCAGTCACCAACGTGTTTGCCTTTTCTATTGCCGTTTCTGCTGCCTGAGTCCAGCACTCGAACGCACCCTGCTTTCTTGGTGGGACTGTTGTAAGATTCTTACTGCTCACTCCTTACCTCTCTGGGCTGGCCTCCAGGTGGCCACCGCAGTGGGATGGTTTCTGTCTTTGACCTGAAACCTCAATTTCACCTCTAGGATAAAGTCTAAGTTCCTTAGCATGGTCTGGGCTCTGTCTTTCTTATGCCTTATCATCCATCATTCCCTCCTCACCCGTCTGTTCTGGTGGTGCTAATCTAAACCTGTTGGGCCTTTGCATGTGTCTTCTCTGCCTAGAGCACCTTTCTGTCTAGTCTGGCCGAAGACTCCTATTCTTCCTGCAAAACCTAGTGCAGCACCAGCCTTCCCAAATGGTGCTGCATACCCCCTCCAACCCAGGTTGATGTTTCTCCCATTGATTTGGTTGTATTAGATCATGTGGTCTCTGAAAGGAGGGCTTCTATCAGATTCGTCTCTTTATCCTCGGGACCTAAGTCTCAATTACTGTGCATGTCGTCAAGTGCAATGGATAAAACAGAGGAAGTATGTACACATACACACGTACAGACACAAGGGAATATTATTCATTCTCTTTTTTAAAAAAGGAAATCTCATTTGCAACAACACGGAGAAATCTCAGGGCATTGTGCAAAGTGAAATAAGCCAGACACATGACAAGTACTGCATGATATCAATTATATGTGGAATCAAAAAAAAAAAAAAAAAAGTTGAACTCCTAGAAACAGAGAGAAAAGTGGTTTCCAGGGGCTGGGAGGAGGTGTGGGATGAGGGAGAGGTCGGTAAGAGGGTACAGACTTACAGTTATGAGGTGAATAAGGTCAGAGGTTCTAATGTACTAGAGTTGCTAACACTGTATTATCTAATTGAAATTTGCTAAGACAGTAGAAGTTAAATGTTCTCCAACACACAGCTCACACACACAAAGGTAAACGCGGGAGGTGATGAATGTGTTACATTAACTCCACATGGAGGAATCTTTACACAATGTCTCTATGTATATGTCTCTATGTACGATCCTCACATTGTACACTTTCAATGCCTTATAATTTTAGGGGGCGCCTGGGTGGCTCAGTTGGTCAAGCGTCCCACTTCAGCTTGGCTCATGATCTCACGGTTTGTGAGTCTGAGCCCTGGTCAGGCTCTGTGCTGACAGCTCAGAGCCTAGAGCCTGCTTCGGATTTTGTCTCTCTCTCTCTCTCTCTCTCTCTCTCCCCCCCACCCCGCCACTCACGCTCTGTCTCTGTCTCTCAAAAATGAATAAACGTTAAAAAATTTATAAATATCTTACAATTTTATGTGTCAATTATACCTCAAAAAATTTTTTTAAACGCTGGTGCATTAAGGGAGATACGTTTGGGGGAGGTACCACAGAAACAATGTGCTCGTGCGCTGTATCTGCTGTATTTCACCAACTTCTGAGCCTGTCTCCATGGGGGAGAGTGAGTGTAGACGGACTCGGGGGCTCTCTGAGCCTGGGGATGTGGAGACTGCATCAGGAGGGGGAGGAAAGCTGTCAACAAGGGAGCTGGCAAGAGGCAGAGGGATATTTGGCAAGAGTGGCTCCTGCGGGCCCAGTGTGAGCTCTAGTTTGTCCTGGACGAGGGGATAATGCCGAGGGCTTGTCTCTGTCAGATGAACTTCAGCTGCAGTTTCCCAGAATGATGACTCAAACCTTGTCATTGTGTTCCTGTCTGGGATTTGGAGGATAAGGTAAGGACTTGGAAGGGATTCAGGGGCATTTAGTCAAAGTGGGGGGAGAGGAGTCCATTGTCCGTCTTCCATCTTGGCAGCCATGCCATTGGAAAATGGCTCCACGGTGATCAAACAGCCTGGGAGGAATGGACTTTAATTATACCCTTTCTTTCCTACTTTAATTATTCTCTATAAACTATGTCTTTTAGAAATGAACTATCAATCTTGTCCAGACCGGAGGACAGACTGTAGCAACAACTCTGTTTCTGTATTCTGGAATACTGTGTCCAAAAGGGTAAGTACCAAAAGGGAAATTTTAGCATTTTGGCGACCGAAGAACTGAAGAGGTCATCAAGTCAGTGGTTGGTGTTCATTCTCTTTGGATCACAGACTCATTTAGGAACAAAAGTTTAGGATTCTTCCTTGAGAAAAAATGTACCAACGCACATATCAGAATACTTTCACATATAATTTTAGGGCATTCATAGAGGTCCCATAGGCTCTAGATGACGAGTCCTTACTCTGTTCCATCTTTGGGCTTTGGCTGCCAGGAACCTCCAGCTTGGTTTAATCCTCTGATCTAGGCATTGGCCAATCTTAGATTCCTGGGAGAGTCTGAATAATCGACATTTACAGACCACTTTCTGTGCACCAGATACAGGCATCTTCACGTGGGTTAAAAGCTTTCACCCCCAGAAGAGTCCTATGAAGTGGGTGGCGTGAGTATCATACGCATTTTCTAGATAACGAAACAGAGCTGCAGGTAAATAAACTGTCTACTAAACGTACGTAGTAAGTGGCAGATCTGGGAGTTTATCCCAAATTGTCTGACTGCAAAGCCAGAATTCAGGCGAGGAAGCACTCATCCCTTCCCCACTGCTATCTATTTCTGACTTCACTGTAAGCTGCCTTGGCACATAGTCATTTTTCTTATAAGTTGCTTCTTTGCAAGCGAACTAAGGAAAATGGGAAAGAAAGGAGGAAAGAAAGAACCGAAGGAGAGAAAACGGGAGAAAGTAAGTCTATACTATTTATAATTCTCTGGAACTGAGTGTAGACATCTGAGGAGCTGGGGCAAGTGAAACTCACATTTGTTGAGTGCCTATTTATGCCAAGTCCTGGACCAGGTGCTCTGCCTGTGCCTCCTCATTTGATCCTCACAGTAGGTGCTGTGGGAAGGTGCAAATCCCCATGTTACAGGTGAAGACACTAAGACTCAGAGGTTAGGTGACCCATCCAAGGTCACGGGCTAGTAAGTAGTGGAGTCGAAAGCCTCACACCCTTAAGGAGATTCCGGTAAACTCTGGCATGGTGGAGACGAGGGGCTAGTCTGGGATTTGAAGTAAGGAGACCATTTAAACTTGGACAGATTCTTTAAACCGTTCTGACCCTCAGATTCCTCACTTGCCAAATGGGGATGAGAATAATACCTGTCCCATGGGGTTGCTGCTATGTCGAAATACCACTATCTTCGCTAACTCAGAATGCATTCCTTTAACAAATATTTGCTGAGTACCTACTAAGTGCTGTATAATTATACACAGGCACTGTAGAGTTTGTTGTTATTGTATGTTCGCTTGCTTGCTGTTTCTGAGAAAAGTTCCTATTTATTTTCTCCTTCGCTGATATGTTTTGGGACAGTGCTGTTGTGAACAACTTTTATTTTTATTTTTATTTTTTATTATTTTTTTATTAAAAAAAATTTTTTTTTAACGTTTATTTATTTTTGAGACAGAGAGAGAAAGAGCATGAACGGGGGAGCGTCAGAGAGAGAGGGAGACACAGAATCTGAAACAGGCTCCAGGCTCTGAGCGGTCAGCACAGAGCCCAATGCGGGGCTCGAACTCACGGAGTGTGAGATCGTGACCCGAGCCGAAGTCGGATGCTTAACCGACTGAGCCACCCAAGCGCCCCAACTTTTATTTTTTTTAATTTTATTTTAGAGGGAGAGTGTGAGTGGGAGAGGGGCCGAGGGAGAGAGAGAATCCTTTTTTTTTTTTAAGTTTATTTTTGAGAAAGAAAGAGAGAGTCAGAGAGAGAGAGAGAGAGAGAGAGAGAGAGAGAGAGAAAGGAAGACAAAGATTGCCAAGCAGGCTCTGTGCCTACAATGCAGATCCTGATGCAGGGCTCAAACTCAGAAACCGTGAGATGGTGACCTGAGCTCAAATCAAGAACGGATTGCTTAACCGAACAAGGCACCAGGCACCTTGAGAGAGACAGAATCCTAAGCAGGCTCCACACTCAGTGCAGAGCCCAACAGGGGGCTGGATCCATGACCCTGGGATCATGACCTGAGCCGAAATCAAGAGTCAGACGCTCAACCAATTGAGCCACCCAGGCACCCCTGTCACATTTCATATGTGTCAAGCACCTACTTGGAGCTAGGAGCGAGCACAGTGGTGAAGGTGACCAAAGATGCCCTGCCATCCCCTGGGGCCGCAGCTTTCTGTTGGCCAAATGCTCATAGATGTGCATAGACAACCTTGTTTTATCAGACAAGATCCTTTCTTTTTTAAAAATTTTAATGTTTCTTTATTTTTGAGAGACTGAGAGAGACAGAGCACAATCAGGGGAGGGACAGAGAGAGAGGAAGACACAGAATCCGAAGCAGGCTCCAGGCTCCGAGCTGTCAGCACAGAGCCGGATGCGGAGCTTGAACCCACGAACTGCCAGATCATGACCTGAGCTCAAGTCAGATGCTTAACCAACTGAGCCACCCAGGTGCCCCAAGATCGTTTCTTTTTCTGACAAAAGAGAGCTGCTTGGGGTTTGAATCCCCACTCTGCTTCCTTGCTTCCAAGTGATGTGACCTTGGGGCAAATTAACCCAATGCTTATTTCATGGGGACTCGAGTTTTTGGCACCCCGGAAGGACTCTGTTGACTTAGCACTTTGATTGGTACTAATGGGCCTCTTTCTACTTTGTCCGAGTAGAAAAACAGAAGCTGCACTGGATTCTACTAATTTGGCTTCAGATTGTTCAGTGGTGTTTTCTCACCTGCAGAATAAAGGCCAGATTCCTTGGCCAAGCATTCGTGGTGCCCTGAACTCACTTTTCTACCCAAATTGCACATCCACTGAGGGTTTCACCAAACTACTGTTTTCTCAGACCCCTTGGCCTTTCTGTTTGCAGCTGCCTCAGCCTTTACCAGGTGAGATCCTATCTGTCCTGCTGGACTTAGCTTTTGTTGGCCTCTGGGATGCTTTTTCTGTTCCTTTCCCAATCTCCATCGCTGAGTATTTGGACTTCCTGCTTCCATTTCCCTCCCTTCCTCCTTCCCTCTTTTCCCTCCACAGATTTTCTCTGGGCGCCCATTCCGTGCCATGCACTAGCTCTAAGACTCCAGGGCTGTGGTGACAGGCGGGACAGCCAAGGTCACAGCTCTCAAAGAGTGCTCATTACTGGCGACTGAACCCGCAATGAGCTCATTGGCACAGTATCATACAGGCGTGGACCTGAGCTGGTCCCAGGGGCGTGGGGGGTGCTTCTGGGAGAGAACACGTAGATTGTTTTGCTTCATTCGTTTTGTTTTTTCAGCACCTGGCAAAGATTCCAGCTGAATGTTTATTGCATGAAGAAATAACTCCCTGCTCAATGATATATTCGTTCATTCAGTCTCTCTTTCCCTTTGCACCTGTGCAGGCCTGTGACACCTTCTCTCCTCAGTTTCCCCTTTTTTTGTGTCCCCTTTTCCTTTGCCCCTGAATTGTCCACCCTGCTCTCCCTAAGGGAAATGTGCAGCATCTACAGTGCATGGCACCAAGAAAGCACTTTTGTCTTCCTCCTCCAGCAATATTTCTCTTACTCCCTGGACTTCCAACTTCTGAGACATCAATTTAACGACACTGTCGACAATGATGTTGACCTTCATTGTTCAAACACAGATGGGAGCATCTGCTTCCAGAATTCTCATCTGAAGCAGAATCCTGCCCATGGCTTGGGATGAAAATTACATCCACCTGGCATTACTGAGCTAGACACACACAGCCCACTCCCTCCTTCACCAGCTAAAGCCGAGAGTTCTTTTGGAAGGAGCTGCTGGAGTGTGGCAATGAAATTTGCGTGCTGAGGAATGGCCAGCTTCTTGTCTTTTTCCTTTTAAGTTCGCAGAAGATGCCTGTGGTGTGGTCCATGTGTTGCTCAATGGGTCCGTCCATAACAGCTTTGATGAAAGAAGGTACTCGTTTCTTTGCATCCTATTTGCAAGTGTTAGCACAGCCTCCTGGTAAATATTTCATCCCTAGAAGAATATGCTTTTCATGGTTAAGTCAGTACTGAAGATTTGGGCTGAAAAGGTAAAATGTTTGTTTTCTACGGAGAGATTTGTCTAAGTCAGTGTTTTTGTCTGGTGTCTCCTTTTTGTAAAATCCTCTAAATGTCCTAACGGCCCTTGCACTGGGTCCAGTCCCTCCTCTTGGCTTTTTGAGGCCTGCTGCAGTGTTCTGAGCTCTCCCATTTCCCACCTTTGTTCATGGGGTTCCCCCGTGCCTGGCTCCCCTCCCCGCACCCACCTGTTTAATCCTCTCCATCCACGAAGACCTGCCTGGTTTGACTCCTCTGTCCGCTGTGAAGAGTGGGCATCATAGTTGAGCAGTCAAACCACTACTGGGCTGGGTTCTTGGCCCTTAACTATCTCTATAGGCATTGCCCCTAACTTATGATAGTGTTAAAAGTAGGGGCTTTTAACTTCCGTATTATGATAGTGTTAAAAGTAGGGGCTCTGGTCTTCCTGTGTGACCCCTGGGAGCCCCTGTGGCATGCACCTGCAGAGGTGTTGATGATTTGAAGATGAACTGAGATAATGTATGGAAAGTGCTGAGCTCTGTGTCTCAGAACACAGAGACGGCTCAGTTAGTCGCAGCTATTACTCTCTCATTTAATCTGCAGCGCTGAACTGGGCCACGCCAATGCCTTCCCTCTCTGACCTCTTTCTATACAGTTGTTACCACATGGTTACTTTCCCAGACTTTGTTCATCACTCTTCCTCTGGATAAGGCTGGATCGAGAGGAGGGGCGGCTATTGACGTGCTCCTGGAACCCTGGGTACCCCAAATTAATTTTCCTTCTCTCCGGTTTTTGATATTGACTTCTGCAAAGAGGCATCTGTCTTTTGTCTTCTTCTTTTTTTTTTTGAGTTTTTTTTTTTTTTTTTTTTTTTTTTTTTTTTTTAGTTCATTTATTTTGAAAGAGGGAGAGCACGTGCACGTGCACGAGCCGGGGAGGGGCAGAGAGAGAGGGAGACAGAGGGAATCCCAAGGATGCCCAGTACTGTCAATGGAGCCCGACACAGGGCTTGAACTCACGAACCGTGAGATCATGACCTGAGCCGAAATCAAGAGTTGAACACTTAACCGACTGAGCCAACCCAGACGCCCCATCGTCTTCCTCTGACCCCAAGCTTGTAGGCTTTTGGGTGAGAGCGTCAACATTCTGGGATTTCGTAATCTGATATTCGGGGTCCAAGTTCTTGCCGCAAGAGTGGCAGCTGTCCGAGACCAGTGGAGAAGAGTTTAGGACTGGGGTCAGAGCAGGGCATCCGGGGCTCTCAGAGGAGTGCATCTGGAGCCTCACTGAGTGTGGGTCGTCTGGGGACTGTTCGGCTGCAGATTCTGATTCAGCAGGTGCTGGTGGGCTGAGATTCTCTAGGTCTAACTAGGTCCCAGACGATGCTCAGGATGTTGGTGGGAGGCTCCTCTTTGAAGAGCAAGTACTTGAAGAATCATCATCAATGTCCCCATGAAGAATCTTATTTTGAGAATCCTGTTCAGCGAGGGTCACGATGAATGAGAATGGCCGTTTCTAGTGCAAATCATGGGTCAATCCCACAACGCAGGCTCGGTCCAGTGGTTCCTGCCTGGTTTTTGACAAGGCCTGTGGTTGGCTGAACGATTCCGTTTGGGGTTAACAATGTTCTCTGCCTCTTCTTACCTTAGCACTTTTGCACGTGTGGAAGTCTTTAATTTGCATCCAGAGAAGGTTCATACGCTACAGGCCTGGGTGATGCAGGACATCAGAAATATTTCCAGGTATATGTTACTACGTTGTGCGTGTATATTCTCAGGGGTATCTTAGGAATCAGTCCGGGGAAAAAGCCACAGTCACAAGAATGCATTGAGAACAGGTTGGCTCAGGAAATGATGGGCTCAGCATTCGGCCCATCGCAACAACCTCTCAATTTCATCCCCACAATAAGTATGTGGTTCACACCTTCGGCTCCCCTGCTGGCCTGTGAGCTCTTAAAAGCAACTTCTGCTTCCACTTTTCCCAGGGGCTTGCCCAGGGCTTGCTACCTAGAAGAAACCGAGAGACTCAGGAAATGGTTGCAAGACCTTGTCATTTAACTCTTTTTTTCTTTCTTTCCCAGTGACTCGTGTTCGGATGCCTCCATTAAAAATCTGAAACTGATTCTAAGCAAAAGGAATATTACATTTACCTGCGAGAATAATTACAGGTAATTGACTTCTGGAAGAAAGAAATGGCTGTCTTGCCATCTATAGGCATTTTTTCCCCCTTTCCTCAGCCTCTTCTGAGCCAGGAGGGCAGTGGGAGCCCCTCTCGGGCCTTGATGGTGATCTGGGATGATGACCTTTTCCTGGCTTCCCACATGAGAGGCCTGACACAGGGGTGCAAACCTGCTGACTTGCAGGGGAACAAAAGCATGTTTTGTCAAATGCAAAGATTTTGTGCAACCTTTGTGACATGGCAGTATTTTGCATGTGAAGTTTCTTTAGTTGGATCTCAGCATAGATGCCTGACTCTTGGTAAGTGGCCACATGGAAGTCTACCAAACTTTATCTTTCATAGATTAGAAAATGCAAAATCTTAATTTTTTTTTTTTTTACCAGTAATATGTGTTTATTAGGGAAAAGTTTAAAATTACAGATAGGTATATATTTTTAAAGTCATCAGCAACTCTGCTATCTAAACTGGGACCCTCACTCATTTTTAAGCAGGGACTCCTTCCAGAAGCATCTTTGGAGATTTTCCCATAAGTGACGGCTTACAATAAGACTGATGCAGAGAGTAAAAAATTCTCAGAGAACACAGAGGTTGGAATCCGAGAACCCTTTTCCTGTCTCCTTCTGTCACCACCTTCTCCCACCAACCCTAGCAGAAAGGCAGAAGGACAGATTCCAAGAACATTTACTGAGGGCTTTTGTCTCAAAATGACCTGAATTCCCCCTCAGTCAGCTGGCTGCTCTCTGGAAACTGCTCTCTGGGAAGAACACACACTTTCCACCACAGTCAGATGGGAAAACAATCAGAACAAAGGGACAAGAACAACTGTAAAAGAAACATTGCAGACATCTGACCCGTCTAAGTTACTCAAAGATGTGTTGTGTCGGGAAAATGGGACGCTAAAGACCTAGGAGAAGATTGGGGGATGTACCTGGGTCTCATCCTCAACTGTCCTCAACATCCTTCTCCCCCCCCCCCTCATTGTAATTATTTCCCTTTCTTTCATTAATGGCCATCAGTCAGCCTCATTCATGCCTACTGCAGGCTCCAGTTGAGCTCACTCGTTCTCTACCTGGGAAGATGCAAAAGCCTACCTTCCATCTGGACTTGGCCAACATCAAAGGAAGTGATTTGTAAGCCAACACCTGTCATGCTGAGCATCAGCTCATGTGACCTTAAACTTGGGGGTCATATTTGAAGTCACTGGTCCTTTTCTCCAACCATGAGGCTGTAATATATTCAGCATGATTCTTTAAATTACCTGCTCCTCGGGGCCCCTTGTATGGTAAGAGTTCTGTGGCTTTTCAAGAAAGCTGCTTGTCCCCACAGGAGCCTACAGTGAATATCATGCATATCGACATATCCTGAAGTTGAAATCACTCCATCTCAGACATACCTTCCAATTTGGAAGCCAACTTTTGTCCAGCTGTTTTGGTGTGATTGTTTTAATAGGCAAACAGAAGTGTGAATACATGTATATAGATCAGACTTCCTGTGGATTCTGCTGTTACCCCTTTATAAATCCCACCTGGGGACGAATACTATTAACCTTTGGCTGCATGCCCTTCACGTCCTTTTCCTTTTTTCTGCATGCACACACGCACAGTCCTGATGAAATATGTACAGGATTTCTTCACATTTTCTTCAGGATTCTACAGGATTTCTTCATGTTTTAACCAGTGGAATCAACAGAAGGTTAACAGTACTTTTTTGGATTACTGGAAAAATGTCAGCGTGTTTTTCTGGTTAGTGCCCCCTTGTGGCATATTTTTTAAGAACCTAAAGGGTGCACTACTCCCTGTAAGTTACTTCAAAATATACTCTGTCTCTATCCATCAGCATGTTGTCCAACATATCCAAAGTGTGTCCATTTTATTGGAACACTGGATATGAATATTTTCATATTTATGGAGAGAGACCATCTTAACAGCGTAATTGCTACTTCTTTTCCAAAACTGAGTTTCCCCAAATTAAAAACTAGTTAAGGAACGTATTCCTGTTCTCCTCATTTAGTATAAAGCAAAGGTGGCTTCAGAATCTTAGCCACCTTCTCAGGTCTTAGAAGGATTTCTTTTCCATAGCAGTATCTCCTTAAGGAAAAGGACACTTTTCCCCCCCCCAGAATGTATTCACGTGGAGGATTCCAGGTTACCATATTGGCGAGGATTGGAGCCACTGTGTCCAGCTGGTGATGATAGTTGGCTAGAGACAAGCCTGAGATGGCCCATCCCAGAAGCCCAGGGGTGCTGGTTGCTGCCTCTAAAGATTTCTCTCTTTCTTGACTCACATTTAACAAAATCAGGTTCAGCTACACTTTAATGAACCACAATCCTCACTCTCCACTCTTCTCCATAGACCAGCCACTCCCACTGGACCCTATTGATTTGTTATCTCATTTTCATGAAACTGAGAGACCCTCACTGGCTAGATTCTTATCTAGGATTTGTTCTGTGCAAAGGGTGTGCGGTCTTCCTGCTGATGGCCACCAGCCTTCCTCCAGAGAGTCTTTACCCTCTCTCTATCTCTGACCCTGTGGCTCAATCCTCTCAGGAAGCTTCTGGAGAGAAGAAAGCAAATCAACAGAAAATATTGGAGAGCCCTCATCTCAGGCTGCTGCCTCTGTTGTTTCTGGTCATCAGCCGACATTCATAGCACGTACTTGCGACATGTTAGAGCCAGACATTTGTTTTCATCTCCACACATTGTCATCAAACATACCTTCTCAGTATTTATTTCTCTGGCTTTACAAGTGACATGAAACCAGATTGGGCCACGCTTTAAGTTGTTCACTCCTGGACTTGACCTTTCTCTGTGTTGTCACCGCAGGAGAGGAAATTGTTTGGATGCCGAGTGGTTCATGTATTCTTTTGTTGCTAATGAAGAGGCTATTTGCACTGGGGAATTGAACCATAGATATATTGTACTGCCTCTTGATCTCCTGTTTTTGTTTTTGTTTTTGTTTTTTTCCCCTCTCTCTTGTCATAGGCCTATCAGGTTTCTTCAATGTGTGAAATATCCTGAGCATTCATCTTGCAGATCTAAGATATGAGCCGATCAGCATGGTGGTTTCAGATCTTTGAGTCTTGTGGTCTGCATCAGCATGGGTAACTCAGGAGACACGCTACTGCTGGGAAGCTGAGGACTTGGGGGGGATCTTCTGTCATGATGCCAACACTAGAGCTGGGAGCCTTTCCCCCAAAGTTTAAAAATAACTTATGTCATTGGAATAGTTTTTACGTTGACTTTCTAATACTCATGAAAAAATTATGGTATGAAATTAAAACGAAAATTTTATGTTAAATTATTTCATTTTAATTTTCATATGTGCTTTTATGTTGTTTATATGTTGGTAGCGGCCTTTTTTTAAATGTTTATTTATTTTTGAGAGAGAGAGAGAGAGGACAGAGCATGAGTGGGGGAGGGACAGAGAGAGAGAGGGAGACACAGAATCCGAAGCGGGCTCCAGGCTCTGAGCGTCAGCACAGAGCCCAACGTGGGGCTTGAACTCACGAACTGTGAGATCATGACCTTAGCCGAAGTTGGCTGCTTAACTGACTGAGCCACCCAGGTGCCCTGGTAATGGCCTTTGTTTTGAAGATGACCACCCTAAAGCTTTCTTATTGATACAGGTAATTAAGGGAAGGTAAATACCGACACTTCTCAGAAATGATACATTTCTGAATGAATGACCTTGTCTCAGGATCTTATTTTGTATCCTTTCTACACATAAAGTGTAAATGCCATGGTTATGGGTCATGTTGGGGAAAGAATTCTGTAGGATAGAAGCCACCCATGTGTTTTACCTCCCACTCTTCCAACAGCCTTATGAGGTTGGTATTATCAACTTCCATTTGGTAGACTGGAAGTGGAAGTTCAGAGAGGTTATATAATATGCCTAAAGTCATACATTTAGTTCAAGGCGGAGGCTGGATTTCAGCTCAGCTCTGACTCCAAAATATGTGCTTTCTTTCTAGGCCTATAAAGACATGCCTTATGTTCTTCTCTAATAAATGCATGTGAGTTTAAATTGAATATAATAGAACCTGAATTACGATTTTTATGGATGGCTTCAAAACAAATACATTTTTCTCCTCTTTCTCCTCCTCCTCCTCAGTGTCTTACCTATATAATAGGCAATTAAAACATATATTTGTTTCCGATACTGGTAATTTGTTGTCCCTTTCTTTCCTGATTAGTTGTGCTTGAGGATTTATCACTTTTATTACTCTTCCAAAGAACTGACCTTTAGCTTTGTTTTCTCTTTCTATTTAATTGTTTTTCACTCTTCTCTTTATTATTAGGGATATAAAAGTTCTTTCTAATTTCCTTGGGCTTCTTTATTCAGCTTCTTTCTTTTTAATGTTTACGTATTTATTTTTGAAAGGGAGAAAGTGAGAGAGAGAGCAGGGGAGAGGCAGAGAGAGAGAGGGAGTGAGTGAATAACAAGCAGGCTCCATACTGACAGCACAGAGCTTGACACAAACTCATGAACCATGAGATCATGACCTGAGCCAAAGTTGGATGCTTAACCAACTGAGCCACCAAGGCGCCCCACTTTATTCAGCTTCTTAAGATAGAAGCTTAAGACAAATCACTGATTTTCAGTACACTTTGTTTTCTTATTCATCAGTTAGTACTATAAATCTTCTTCTCAGTGCTGCTTTTGCAGATCTTAAGTTTTCATGTGTCTCTTTTTATTATCATTCAATTAAAAAATATTTTCTACTTTAATTGTTATTTAGAAATGTGTTGCCTAATTTTCAAACATCCGGAGATTTTCTAGGTTTTCCTTTCTTTCTTTCTTTCTTTCTTTCTTTCTTTCTTTCTTTCTTTCTTTCTTCTTTCTTTCTTTCTCTTTTTTTCTTTCTTCTTTCTTTCTTTCTTTCTTTCTTTCTTTCTTTCTTTCTTTCTTCTTTTCTTCCTTCTTTCCTATCTTTCTTTGTTCCTTTCTTTTTTTTTTATGTAGAATTGTTGAATGAAAATAAACTAATTTGAGGGTCTTTCAGGGAACCCATTAGATTTATTGAAAACTGCATGAATTTTGGAGGCAGGAGTTTCTGGGTTCATATTTTGGTGTCGCTCTGTTATCTTGAATAAAATACCTAACTTTGAACTTTGGCTTCCTTGCCACTCAAACAAGGATTATAATTTACCCCCATGAAGGTGTGGTGAGGACTAAAAGATGACAACAGTCGACAGTCTTTCACGGTGCCTTGTATGTAAGCAAGCACTCCACCAAGTTTGACCACTTTCTGCCAGCCCCTGGGTGGCAGTCCAGTGTCTTTCAGGAGCCATGGTAGTTACAGCCACTGTGGGCAGTCCACGGATCTTTGCTGGCCCCCGTGTCCACATAGGCACATCCTATGGGCTTTCGTTTGGGCTGGACATGAAAATGGGTGCTCAGGACCAGTTCCGATTAAGACTCAGGCTTGCCCCAGGATTCAATGAACTCCACCCTGCTAAACCCCTGGGTGACCTGGCTGTTTTCCTCTCAGGACTCTCTTTGCCTTACTGATGGGTATGCTTGCTGATTTCTGGGCTCTCGAATGTACTTTCCTTCTTCACCAGGATATCCCCTGAAGTGTCAGAAAAATTTTGCTATGTCCCCTTCTAGATGAAACAGATAGAGTAGCAGTCAGTTCGTGAGAGGCTTCCTCTAAGAAGACTCATTTGAGTGTTCAAGTTCAAAGCTGGGGGAGACTAAGGAGAGGCAGCTGGGGAATTTTTTCCTTGTATACCATCTCTGTAGCTTCATTCCCATGATGCCCATTCCTGCTTCCTGTCTGTCTGCAGTTCCAACTTTGGGTATCTTTGCCACTGACCATAGAGCCGTCTCTAGCCCTAGGGACTTTCTGGTCCACATACATAAATAGATCCTCCTTATCCCTCTTCTTATAAGTGACATCTTCAACTGAGTTTCTTACTGCTCATAGTCTCATTCTTTACTCATCTCCCCCTTCTATTCGTGTCTGCCCTAGAATATGCTCTTACCATCCCAACTTGTACCCACTATCATACTTAATCTGAAGGCTGGGATCCAGGACCCAAGTTCCCTTTTCTCACACCAGAGGGCTCACTACTTTCCTTCTGTAGTAGTTCTTGACCCTATAATATTTGAGACACACTTTCAAATACAGTTCTGAAAGTTGAGGTTAAATACTTGAAAGAATATACAGACACATAAACCCACACTCGACCCATGTCTGCACATTCCCTGATATAAATGACCCAGTGGGAACACCGTTGATTTACTTCCTGGCATCCCACTTCTCCTTAAAACAATTCCTAAGACTGTGATTTGAATTTTTCAGGTAGAATCCATACCACACAGAAGGGTTTTTGTTTGTTTCTCTGTCTGTTTGTTTGTTTTTTTTAAAGGCACGGATGAATGTTATGCATGGCAAATTAAAACTGTGTATGCAGTAAAATGTTAAAGTAAGCCTAGAGTATGTCATAACTTTAAAAGGCATTATGTGAATGCATTGTTAACTCTGGCATTTTCCCACAGTTTTTTAAAAAATCATGAAGCAGTTAATTTGGGGCGCCTGGGTGGCGCAGTCGGTTAAGCGTCCGATTTCAGCCAGGTCATGATCTCGCGGTCCGTGAGTTCGAGCCCCGCGTCGGGCTCTGGGCTGATGGCTCGGAGCCTGGAGCCTGTTTCCGATTCTGTGTCTCCCTCTCTCTCTGCCCCTCCCCCGTTCATGCTCTGTCTCTCTCTGTTCCCAAAATAAATAAACGTTGAAAAAAAAAATTAAAAAAAAAATTATGAAGCAGTTAATTTATTTATACCACTCAGAGTTGTCATTTTAACATATGTATATTTTTTAAAGCAATTTACCAGGAACTCAGTAGCTGGGTGTGCTGCCCTGAGAGGCAGTGATTAGCTGGCCCTCAGGAATCACTCACAAGGCACAGAAGGCTTTGAACTGGTCCCTGACAGAGCATTTATCCTTGAACTTGATTCATATATGTGCACAGAGCCATTCATCCTCTGATCGAAGTGCAAACAGAACAAGGTAGTGAAAACCATGGAATTAACAGTGACCCATTGGGCGAGTTCGTGACTTCTGTAAATGTCAGGCTCAAAATATACTTATAACAGACATGAATAAATTACACCAACAATAAAAGAATAATACAAGGCTTTGTGGAATTATTCTTTTAAAAACAGTTATTTCCGCAAATACCAGAAGATCTGATATATATGTGGAATCTAAAAATGTCAGACTCCTGGGGTGCCTGGGTGACTCAGTTGGTTTGAGCATCTGACTTCGGCTCAGGTCATGATCTCACAGTTCGTGAGTTTGAGCCCTGCATCTGGCTTGCTGCTGTCCACACAGAGCCTGCTTTGAATCTTCTGTTCCCCTCTCTCTCTGCCCCTCCCCTGCTCGTTCTCTCTCTCAAAAATAAATAAAACATTAAAAAATTAAATTAAATTACAGTGGTGGTTGCCAGGGGCTGGGGGTGGGGAAAGCAGGCAGACAAACCTGGTCTTTTAGGTACAGGAAGAATATGTTTTGGAGACCTAATGTATGGCATGGTGACTATATAAATAATACAGTATTCTGTACTTGCAATTTGCTAAGAGAGTAGATCTCACGTGTTCACACACACACACACTATGTGAGGTGATGGATATGTTAATTAGCTTAATTGTGGTAATTGTTTCACAGTGTAAACATATATACATATACATATGTATATGTATATGTGATAAACATCACATGTATACCTCAAATACATACAATTTTTGTCAATCATACCTCAATAAAACTGGAAAAAAACCACAGTCAACCCTGGGCTTGAAAAGAGAATTAAGGGGGTGCCTGGGTGGCTCAGTCAGATAGGCTCGGGTCATGACCTTAAGATTCGTGATTCGAGCCCTGCCTTGCGCTCTCTGCTGTGAGTGCAGAGCCCGCTTCAGATCCTCTGCCCCCCTCTCTGTCTGCCCCTCCCCCACTCTCACTCTCTTGCTTTCAAAAATAAATAAACATTAACAAAAATAAAAATAAAGTGAAAACTTAATTTAAAAAAAAGAGAGTTAAGAAA